ACAAAAATAAGTATCTAGCTATTTTAGCATATAGATCTATTTTTAAAGGGGTTGTGTGTCTGTCTGAGAGAGAACAACAGAGAAAGATGAGCTTGATAAGACTGATATAATGTGACACATTTCTAGAAACTGACTTTAGTATTACAAGCTCCTTTTTTTCCTCAGGAGAAAAAATAGCTACATTAAAAACAAAATAAAATAAAAAAGAAAACCTTACTGAGCAAAGTTAAGTGGAAAGATTGACTGGTAGCTTGGGAAGCTCTCCCAGGTATTTTGTGCATGTTGAAATGCTTGGTCAGATGATACTGTGCTCTTAACTGTAGGTCCACTTCAAGACGAGCCATAATTTCTGCATATTTGAATGCAAATTTTCTAATTCTGTGATTTTCAGAATACCCTAATATTGTGTTTTTTAGTTTTCTGCATTTGGAACTAGTCTTGCAGATGCTGGCAGCCTAAATCGGATTTGTCTCTTATGCTTGTCATGTTAATGACACTTTCAGAGAGCTATAGAAAGGATTTCACTATCTTTTTCCGAAGGCATAACAGCTAATTTAGAGCTCATGTGTATGTGTAGAGTCTGTGTATGTACAGTTAGGATCTTTTTCCTCTGGATTATTCTGCAATATGCAAAGAGCTTCTGCTATTGTAATGTCCACTCACAAAATGAAAACCAACACTTAGCTCCTTCCTTATATTTATCTCAGTTTCTATCTTTAGAGAACTTTGCAATGCATCCAAGATCGCAAATCTTCTGAAATCATATTTCAGATTTGTGAAACAAAAGTCAGTAAGATTACAGATCACCATGATGATAAGTGAGTGTCATTTATTCATTAGCCATTTTTTTGTAAAACACACTACAAAATTACATGCAATTACAAAATTGGTAGCAAGAACAGTATTGCTCTGGAGACCTAAGAACAGGAAACAATTCCCTCTGATGCTGTAAGACCCTATAAATAGAACAGTGGAGCTAAAAATGCTGGAGCTTTTGTATTGTCTTGGCTTGACGCTCTGAAATTAAGCTTAGGATAGCAAGATGCTTCAGCACCAGAAAACCCACGTAGTCCCTGTAAGTGCCTAATCTGCCATGTAATCAGACGCTATTGGTCTCCACATTTATTTCCCCTACGCAGCCTGCCTGGATTTATGTCTTTCTGATATCTCGTGATTCAATTGGTAGTATCCCAAAGGGGCTGGCAATTAATTGTCATCGGTGTCAAAGGCTGCTGAGGTAGGTGTGAGTATTAGCTATGGAAGCAGCAAAGAAGCAGAAGACTTGTGTTCTGCTTATACTGGGAGCTGTATCTTTTTTTCTGGATTTTAAGGAGTGTTTGGATGGCATTGGATGGGGTGTTTGGTAAAAGCATAAGAAGTGCAGCCCCCAGTAAATGACTCTCTTATTCTGTGTGTCCACAAACCTGTCTTTAAAAATCCAATTATTTTCAATTGGATTTGGTCCAATTATTCTAACTAAATGTAGTCAACTTTTCTGACTATGTTGCTAGATATCCTTGTGATCAGCTCAGAGCAGGTTGGCTGCAGGATGCTGTTCTCCAGGAAATCCACCAGATTTCTGACCTGCCTGCACTTTCTTGGATAGAAGGCAGGTCTTCAGAATTGTTTGTTTGTTTCCCTTTCTTTAAATAAGAATACATCCATCAAAACTTTGCTATTCTCATTTGCTAGGTCAAGATACTCCTAAGAAACTGACTGTATTTTTCCTCTTAGGCACTCTCTTCCTGAAGATGCAGGGAACTATTTTGATGAGGAGACAAGAGTTTTGGAAGTTCCAATGACAATACTGATTGCAGATAAGGTTAGTGATTTTATTTTGCTAGTTAGCAGGCTGACAATAGATGTAAGTCTATTATCTTAGTCGAAAATTCACTTAATGATATCAAATCCTACTTTAGTCCATTACTAGCTGAAGTAATGACAATATGTGACAATAGTAAAAGGTGCTTATAGTGATAATACAGAACGGATAATTCTTTTAAAACATAAAAGATACCCCAGCACAGTCTTTTTATTGTGATCTGTATTGTATTGTAGTAGAATATTTTTAAGCTGTATGTTTCCTGGAGATACAGGTTTGATTCTATTCTAGCCTATGAAATCTAAGATGATAAATGGAGAATCTTTTGGCAATTTTGTTTATATATTAAAAAAGCCTTACTGTTTATACTACACATAACACTTTTTACCAGTGTTCTTACATTTGTTTCAGACTAAACCTGTGACTTTTACTGTCCATGCAATTATTACTACTTCTGATTTGGAAATCAATCCAGCAGAAATAAATTTTGGATACTGCACAATCTATGAAGCTGTGCAAACAAACATCACACTAACAAACAAATCCATCTTGCCACAAGAGTTTGGGTTTGTGGGACTTCCAGAGGTACGTGCTTATCCCTCCTGCTCCTCTTCTAATTAAAATGTATATAATTAAGTAATTAACTTGTGATTGAAAGACATTATTCAATCTCTATTAGCTCATACAGACACAAACGATGTGCATTGCTAGGTACTAAGTGGTACTTGTTGCCATGGTATCTGCACAGCATCAGCTTTTCAAAGTTTTAGGGGAACAGTTGAGATCTTTATCATGTTTTATAGTTTTCCACGAGAGTAAACAAACATCTCTGAGAAAGGTAATAACCACAGATGAAAACAAGTCAGCACAAAGGTCTGAGTATTAAATTTAAATTTCTGCCTGTCAAGTTATTCTGGAATTAAAATCTTGCAAATCAGCCAGACAGTAATCACTGTAGGTCAAAATAAAAGCTTCTAATGAAGAGATTTCTGCTTTTCTGACATTTATACATTTAATATTTTTCTTACCTTCCTATTTGAAGTTTGTTGAAATTCAACCCAATGATGGACTTGGAATTCTTCTTCCTCTTGAAAGCCTAACACTGGATATAATCTTTAAAGCCAATAAGGCAAAGGAATACAACTTTGAACTAACCTGTAAATCGGAGATTAATAGGTACGTTAAACTGGCAGAGTAACAGGTAATGTGGAAGTCTAAATCACAGTCCATTTCCACAGATAAGGAAAGCAAGTCCAGTAATGAAATCTACTTTGTACTTGGAAAAGGTAAAATTATCTATAGGATATAACTGTGAGGCTGGCAGGAATTCTCTAGTTCCCAAGAGTTATTCAATTCCTGATAGTTTCACTCTTCATTTCCATATCTGTCTTTACCGAGTTAAACTTTCCATCTTGCTTTCTTTTCCTGTCCCATTTGAAGTTTATGCATGTGCTATATCCAAGGCGTGAGTTTGCCTCAAGTTTTGTTGACCTGAAATGTTCTGCTCACTTTCTCAGCAGAATTACTAAAAGTTCTTTGCTTTTTTCCAATAAAAGTTTCAAGTATTAAGCTAGTGCTACTAAAATAATGGTGGCAAAGATTCTGTGACTTAATGGGATGTATTTCCAGAAGTTCACAGAGGAAGAAGTCAAGTAGGGAATCTTTAGCCAATTGTGCATTAAAAATTACTGTTCATTTTCATGCAGAACTCCTATTGCAGGGCTTGAAAATTCCTGCTTGAATAGGGCCTGTAGAATCTGTTCTCTAGTTTCTGGGCTGGTTAAGAGCCTGTTTTATGCTGAGACAATTTATGATGTGTTTATTTTTAGACAATTCAAGCTGTCATGCAAAGCTGTTGGAGTCCACCCACCTCTTGAATTGTCTCATTCCTTAGTCCAGTTTGCTGCAACAGCTTTAAACGGTGTATCTACAGCAACACTCTATGTAATAAATTCCCATGTAAGTGTCAACCGCTTTACTCATGCCGTCCCAAGAATTGGCAATGGGGAAATTGCCCCTGTTGGACCCACCTCCTTTGAATTCCACGTGCCAGAAGATTGTCCTGTGACAATTGCACCTTCTGTTGGGACTGTGTTGCCTGGGAAGGTAAATTAACTTTCAAGCCTCAAAATTTCTAACTAGCATTTTGCTTGTCTAGATCCCTACATGCATGACTAGAATAATTTGTATTGTTTTAAATTGGAATTAAGGGGTTAACCATCAAGTCTGGCTTCAGCTTTACATCACCCTGACTGTTCTTTCCCAGTGAAGAAACTTTATCATTATGATTCATTTGAAAAACCTTTAAACAACAAAAATAGTGGCAATATAAAGGCACTTCAATCTAGCATCCTTCTAAAAAGCTGTGAGTGACTTTATCCTTGGGTTTATCTCATTCACAATTTTGTTTATCAAATTTCTCATCAAATATACGTTTCTACTGAACTTTGTAGGTATAGCACATGTATGAGGGTTGAATTCTGCCTCTCATTCTTATCTGTGCTCTCACACTCCCAGAAAAGCTTAATTCAAGTGTCCTTCAGACCAACATTGTCAGATCAGCTAATCAGAGAAGAGGCAATTCGGCTCTGCAGAGCAGCTGTGGCAAGGGCAGAAATACAAGTAAGAAATGCTAAGAACTAGCACGTGCTAGCATGGTCTGTCAATACCAGTGATTTGGTTTTCCGTTCGGTATTTTTATCCTACGATTATTTGCATATTAATGGAGTGCTAACTCACGAGCTATGACCTGGGTATACAGGACAAAGTATGGCTGTACTGTCCCATCAAGTGTATAGTTTGTTCACTGAACAATCATTTAATTTCTTAAGACTTTCAAAAACCTTTCTAGATAATTTTTTGAAAGTGGGAATTGCAGCTAGTGTAAGTGCCCTAAAAGCTGATGTAAGTGCTCTAGAAAATGTTATTGCACTTACAGGTTGATGTCATATATGGAATTTATATGTTAATCCTATAGTTCAGTTAATTTACATCAGCCTCTGTGGTTATCTTTCCTTATGAGAGAAATAAGATAAAATTCTGATGAAGTATACAGTAACTCCTGCAGTAGGGAAATTTATTTTAGGATGGAGGGAAGTATTTCAGTGTAATTTTATCTTATTAAAATTCTAACAACTACTGCATCTACTGCTTGTTACCTTAATCCTACTTCTGTTATCTTGTTTTGTTTACTGCATCGTCATGTTGCCTCTTAAGTTATTAACTAGAAAATTCAGGAATTAGTAGGAACTAGTGATCCAAATTCCCCAGCACTAGAATCTCAGTCTGTAACTCCTGAATAATGCCTGTGTGTATTTACAGGCAAAGAAGAAAAATGAGAGGAGAGAGATAAAGAAATCAAACACTTCGTTTATCAGACACCAGTCTTCAAGACAGCTTGCAAGAGACAGAGGCAGTAAACACCTGAATCCTGTGTGTAGTTCTGAGCAACCAAAATTGGAAGAGATAGAACCTGAGTGAGTAGAAGCATCCCCTACTACACAGGCAAAAATAGCCTCTATAAGGGGCTTAATAGATCTACTGAGCCCTACAAGTGAAAAAGAAACCAAGCTATAATGAAGAAATATCTTGAGTTAAATTGCAAACGCTGTTAGTGCCACCCAATGGTAACCTCTCAAGTAAGGCCAAGAACCCCTTTATATGTGTGGGGGAAACAGGACTTCAAAGAATGCATCAGAACATATGAGTACAACATATTAAATGGAAATGTAACAATACTGTAAAATAAACCTTTTAAACTATGTATATTGTAGAATAAGTATTTATTTCTGACTAGAACATCGTTCATTGCAACCCATTAGTTATAATTGTAACGTACTGTTTAGTGCAAGTCATAAAAATAAAATTCATATATGAAAACTTTTTTCCCTCTGTCTCTTACTAATAGGATTTTTATTCCTGAATTTTCTAGTTCTGAAGATTATATGGCAGCCCAGACTTTGTTAATCAGGAATTTCAGAGGGAGTTTTGAAAAATATGTCATACCCTGCTTTGTTGCAAGTGGAGATACTGACGGAAGGAGAAGCTGTGAAGATCTAAGCTGCAGGTATTCTACAAATAAACTGAAACAAGATATGTGTAATTCATGCTGGGTCAGAGACTTTGGAGGAAAGTGTTTTTATTCATTTGAGGGGGAAAAAATACTTTCTGCTTTTGATTTTTTTTAGGGTAGAAACTCATGCTTCCACCCTACTGATTAGATAAGAATCTAACAAATTAATGTTGCATGAACAGAATAAGAAGAGATTTCTGACACTAGTTTTTGAGATCTAAAAGCAAACACCTCTCCACTATCTCCATAGCCCTCATAATACCTTGTATCTGGAGCTGCACTGTCCAGCTGTAGCACCATCTGTTGTGGTCACTTCAGATAATGGGAAAAACACAGTCAATTTTGGCGATGTCGCAATAGGTATGAAAACTGAATTCCAGTTTTGTTTTTGTTTTCTGTCTTTAATTTCTTCTGAGCATAGTTTTGTTATTTTATTTTATTTAGTTTCAAAAGTCAATATAGAAACTAGGCCCATAATAGGTACTCAAATAGAAAATTAGCCTAACTGGCCAGGTGAGTCATATAAAAGCCTGCTTGATCCTGAAAGATGGAATCAGGAGCTCCACCTGTGACTGTCCAAATTTGACCAAACATTTTGGTGAGCTTTGGCTATGTATTAGCCATATAAACAGAATAAACATTTAGCACTGGTAGAAGCAGAAGTAAATAGGAATTACAGTAATTTGGAGCGAGCAGCAAGAGTTTTTTGAACTGTTGTTTTCATTCCTGTTAGGTCATAGAAGAATCAAGCAAATTACAATACAGAATATCTCTCCAGAGAAGCTGGAAGTATCCTTGCTTGGAACATGTGAGTTAATCTGTTGTTCAACTGTTTAATTTGACTTAGTGCCAATAGAAACTGTTTGCTGCTATAGCAAGGAGGAGATAGCACATTTCAGATTTAATACACATTCCTGACTATGACAGGAGGTGATGTGCAGAATATCCTGGGCAAGCCTAGGTGAGCCACTGGAAAGCTAATTCTATTCCACTCTTGCCTAGCACAGAACCAAACTTGAGAAGCACTTAGCACTTCCTAAGCAGTAAAAGCTACAGAAATAGCAAATAGCAGAGTATAGAAAAATAATATAGGAATAGTGGCTGCATAGTATAGGAATAGTGGCAGTAGTAGTTTAGGAAAATATCATTATCTTGTATTTTAAGATGTTAATAACTTATTCCAGACAAAAGCTGGAAATGGAGCTCCATGGAGATCTTATTAACTGGAAAACAATCTTTTGGTTGCTTGACTTATGTATGAAAAAAACAGGTTAACTTGTCTTTTCAGTTTAATTCCAGATTTCTGGAAGCTTGTAGGTGGTTGGGTAACACCCATCTTTGAGCTGAACAATACTTGAACTAATTTTAACTCTTCCTCCAATTATAATTTATAAAATTGTTTTTCCTTGAGTTGTACTATCTTAGCTGGGATTCTCAATTCTGAATCCCCGGGGTCCTTTCTTGTTGGTCAGAGCAGTTGGAGTGCTTCAGCCAGGGGAAAATAAAACTCTTATCATCTCTTTTTGTCCAGACGAGGATAAATGGGTGAGTAAAAGCAACCCTGCTTAGCTCTGCTCTACCCTGCTTTGTTCCACTTGACACCACGGATTTGGGATCCAGCCCTGGGTCAGATCTGTCCCTTGCTGCAGGATTGGTAAGATCCTGCAGCCATTGGTAAAAGGGAGGGAAGAAGACAGAGATATAAAGGGCTGTGTTAAAAATGTATGTATGTATATATGTTTGTGTGTGTATATATACATATAACTGACTCGGATGTGCCTGCCTAATATTAAGCAAAACTTTACACAGCCCCTCCGTGTCCTGAATCCAGAAGTTCTGTAGCAATGGTCCGTTCTAGTCTGTCCGTGTTCCTTCAACAAAGGGGCTGACTAACAGACACCTCCTTCTTGGCAGTTTTTTGAAACACTGGACATCTGGACTGTGAAAACCAGCCTAACCCTGAACATCACCGGGCACGGGGTGACGCCATCAATTGTGTGCTCTGTGCAGGAAGCCCTCGATATGGGGTACGTCATAGCCCAAGAGAAAGCGACCTCCACGTTCAAGGTAAATTCTGAGCTCTGTGCTGCCCTGGGGAGCCTACAGCCATTTGTCTGAAGTATGAAGAGAATTTCAGTAGTTTCCACCCCGGTGAAATATAAGGCTGAGTAGCTTTAGGTGAAAGAGCGTAACTTTAAAAGATAAGTAATTTTGTCCAAACTTGCCGGGCAGAGATGGGCTCATGGATAGCAATAGCCCACACATGCTTTGTAAAACTTCTAGGTACAAAATAGGTCAGTAATGCAGAAAAATCATTTCAACCAGTCTACAAAATATGGATCCTACAAGCTTGAGAACTGTTTTCCTAATGAAAATGTTCTCCTATAAATCAATATCATCAGATACAGAACACTTCCACACTGAACCTGAGCTACTCCATACAACTGGATTCCCTTTCTTCCACAAGGGATAAAGATCAGCAGAGACTTCCCTCCTTCATGACATCATCTTTGCAAAGAACAGATTTTGTTGGTAAACTTCTTTTATAGCAATACTTTGTCCTGTTAAATACTTCATCCTGTTAAGTCTATTCAGCTACCAAATACATCCTCAGGTATTTGCATCTAAGTAACCCACATGGCATTTGCATATTAAAGAGCACATTAGGAATGCCCATCTTTGGGGGGAGTAGATTGTAGAATAAAGGAAAGACTTGGTGATGCTTTTTCAGTTTCTCAAAGATAAATGCACTAAACTGATAGATGGGTTTGTTTCTAATACCCTATTTTGCTGCAAAACCGTATTTATTTTATTGCTATTCCAACAATAACAAAAAAAGTTTAATATATATGGAGTAAAACAGAGCTGTCTTTTTTTGTTATTCTTATCGTTGTTTCTGTTCACCAGGAACACAGAACTATAATGGTTTAAGTGTGTTCAGCATCTTTCCAATGGAAGGAGAAATTATTGCTGGGAAGAGTCAGGATTTTATTGTTACTTTCAGTCCTGATCATGAAAGTCTGTACTATTCTGACCGTCTGAAGGTTGTGCTCTTTGGCAAGGTGAGTAGAAATGTAATACTACAAATACTATAGAAACTGGTAGTGAGCAAATAAGGTTTTTTGTTTTTTCTTTTTTCTCTCTCCTTGAAAGTTTGCAGCTCCAAATTGGTTTTGGAGTTTGAGGTAAGAGCAAAAATCAAAGTAATCTGATGCATGAAGGCTGATCCTCGTTCACAAACTTGAGCCACGTTTGGCAGCACTTGAGTTTTGCCTGTTTTAGTGGCTCTGATGTAAGTTAGTTTGTTCAGTACCCTCCTAAGGCACATGGCCTGAGAATGGAAGTTGTTGAAAGGGTCTGGCAAGGGGAAGAGCAGGGTTTTTACATTACAGCCAGTGCCTCTTGGCATTGGCATAGGCAGCTTATTCAGTCATTTTTGTGCAGCTGGTGCCATTGTGTCAGGTTTCCAGTTTTATCAGCAGTTGAGCTGTAACCTACATTTGCAGCATTCTTGTCTTACATAGGAAGTAGCCCATGTGATCCACTTAAAGGGGGCAGCAAGAGACCGTCCAATGTTTGTGGAAGGGGGAATTCCACTGGATGTGCCCGTAGAGTCCTTGGCTGTTACACTGCCTGTGTCATCGCAGGAAGCAGCAAAGGGAGGTAATGTGCTGCCACTTGCATGTTATTGAAAAATAATTAATGATAAAATACAGGCTTATTCCTCATCCTTTACGTCAAAAAAGTAAATACAGGATTTTTTTAAAAGAATCAGAATGAGTATTATAGTATTACCAGCATTTACAACATTAAAAAATGCAGAAAACTCCCCTAAGAAAAGTTTTTCCCTAAATTTGAATAGTGTCCTATCTTAATGAAGATGATCTGTGTTTGCAACTTACCTTGCAAAAGGCTATGACAATTCAATAATATAACAAAGAATTACACTTAATTCTCACATAAGTTAACATTATTCAGGACTCTCCTGATTATACTCTTATGAATTCAGAAACAGACTCACTTTCTAGACTTAAAATTTATCCCCATTATTTAATTTCTTTAGAGAGCAGCTAAGTTCAGAGGCAGTATATAAACAGCACCTAGTTACTGAAGCATAAAGCACACCTAACACACATTTAGGGATACAGCACTTGCAGAATATATGTGCCACAAGGCTAGAAAATAAGCGTGAAACCTAAAAGCAAACAGTTTGCAATTGCAAATCATGAAAAATCTCCTTTGCTTAATTCTTCACTAACCTTGTGAGTTAAACTAAAGGAGGATATCTTTATCTATGCCCAGTAATGGATTTGCCACAACATGACCTTTGTTTTGAACCAACTTGATGTAACTTATACCTTTTTAGACCATAATCTTTCAGTTTAGTGCCAGACTATTCTCAAGTTTACTTGATTTGTATCTGTTTAGAGCTGCAAGAACCAGTCAGGTCCATCCTGCTTGTCCTGGAGTACATCGAGGGAGAGAGTTCGGTAGTGCCAGCAGTGGCAGAACTGAAAGTTGGAGCTATCCGGACAGCTCAGTTTGCATCCAAGAAGGTGAGAAGTGCAGCTTTGTTAGGCACTATCAGGAACACTGACACTGTACAAACAGCTACTGGTTCCTCCTGTGAAAATTCAGCTTTAGGAACTCCTTTAAAAAAAAAAAAAAGGCACTTTTTGCCTGCTCAGCTGTATATTATGACAAAGTCGCTGTGTGTCTGTGGCCTCTCCATCAGAGCGTGGATTTCAGCTTTGAGAACCTGTCACTGCTGCAGCAGAGGGGATTCACCCTTGACGCTCCAAAGGGAACAGTTGATCGTGGTCAAGTAAAATGCATCAGCGTTTCGTGGGTGCCACCTGCTGATTTCCAAGTAAGTTGCAATCACTGAGACCTGCTGCTTCTGAAATGGAAGCAGTGTGGGACAGTGGTACTTGCCTGACCTGAAGGAGGAACACAGAAGCCCCATCTCCAGGTGTCAGCAGTATGAGCTGCTTGGACACATTAGGATGACAGAACACATGTGGTTACCAAGGGAATATAGGCTGGTAAACGCTAGCATGGGAATAAAAGACAGGAATTGTGCACAAGTTGGAGGCTTGCTGTCTCACCTCAGTCTTGTGTGTGACGAGAAGGAATGAGCACAGTAGCTTGCACCACATCAAACTTACCCTCTCGCATGTCATTGCATTATATAGTACCAAAAGCCCAGACGCAGCTGCTGCTGCTAAATAAAAGGCACTGCTTTGATCACACTGATGAAAAATGTTCCACGCCCCTACTATTTAATGCCCCCTTCTGCAGTAGTTTGCAAGGAAACCCCCAGTCCTGCCGACGCAGTGCTGGGTCTACATCGCAGTTCTTCGGGCTGTTTCCACTTCATGAACCCTCTATCCTTGGCTGCTGCTGCCCTTTTTATTGCAAAGTCTTGCTATGAGTTCCAGCTAACATGGGGCTGGGATCGCCCCTCCCGATTCCTCTTTCTGGGTATTGGTGGTGACTGAGTGAGCGGAGCCTCCCACACTTTGTCCTGAGCTCTGTGTGGGATGGCAGAATGAGTGGCTTGTTCCAAAATTAAAAGGCTTCTGTCATCATGTGCAGAAGGCACTACTGTTTCTGGGATGACATATGAGATTGACTCAGTGCCTCTTGGTAAGCAGAACTGGTGTTGCACAAGGTTTGCATTAAGTCATGGCTAACAGGCCATTTTCTTTCCCATTTCTTTCTTTTGTAGCCCAACTTCCGCTGCAACATGCTGTGTCAGGCCATGCCCGGTGGTGGCTATGGTTGTCACCTGGTGACAATGTCTGTCTCATTCTGCAGGGAATGCGTAGTGACTGCATCTTTACTGATCACAATGTATATGAACTTTTTTTTTTCTTTTTTTTTTTGTAGGCTGACAGCCCTCTGACTGTGACAACCCTACTGACCTTAAAAGGTGACATTAAGGAATCTTATCAAATCCTCTTCATGGCAAAAGTTGTATCTGCATGTACTCCCACTAAGCAAGGAAAATAAATTAAATAGAAAGGAAGATGGTGGAGGTTTATATTATTGACAAAGCATTTGATCTCAACTGGAAAAGGAAAGATGTGTGAGTGGAATGGGGAGGCAGGCAGAAAGGCAGCATAGCATTTCTGCTTTTTTCCACCAAACTGTGTATGAACTCTGGCTAAACTAGTTTTATTTTCAAGCTGACTCTGACACTAACCTCATGATACAAGGAGAAATCAACACAGGGATTCACGGCGCAATCAGCTACATCTGCTCTTAATCCCAGTGCCTTCCAAAGGCTGGTGTTCCTCCAGGAAGTGTATCTTTTCTACATCTAGAAGTGTGAGTTTCAAACAATGTACTTTCTTTTTTTTCCAATTTCAGATAAATTAATAGATGTGGAAAATACTTTTTTTTTTCCTGATTAAGATTGTAATAAAACTTTTCATTTGAGTCTGTTTTGTCACTGGGACTCTTTACCTGCCTAAATCCCCACCTTATGGGCCCGGATATTGAGCAAACAAGTCAAGGAGCCAACAATACATCTGACTCCTAAAACTGAAATAACTAAAATATGTGTTTAGTTAACATAGTTACTTTTGCTATATTTTTGATAGATACGGAGATGCAAGAAGCAGATCAAAGATATTAACTGTTAGGCTAATGAAAACTTAGGAATCTTATTTGGATACTCCTACCTAAACAATTCTCATAGGCAAGGGCTACATCCTATAGTAGCTTCTCACTGTCTTCTCCAACACAGAAAACAGAAAAGTGTCTGTATTGACTGATTCTTGGAAACCATTTTGCTTGCTAATGTAGACGTTCCATGCTGAACTAAAAGCAATGAATTTGCAGGCAATTCCTTGAGGATAACAGGTGCAGACAACTGAAAGAGTTGTTATATTCTGTGCACGGGGTTTAATGGTGGGTTCATAACTACCTGACGGCCTAAAGTCACTCTAGTCTCCATGTTTCTGTTTCAGTGTTGCAAGCCTCTAACAGGAATGGAGCTCATAGGTCTCCCCAAGATCACAGTCACAGATGTATCTAAGTTTCCCAGCAGATGAAGTTTTCTCCTTCCCTAACTGCATTTATACAAGCTGTTTTCTGGTTAAGTTTTGCAACTTGGATCACCAGGTCTAAGCTTGGACCTTCAAGCCCAGTTCTGTTTTAAAACTGATTCATATCCATGGACCATCTCTAATCCTTACACACAGTTTTGCCTATTCTCTTCTGCACCAGAAAGGAAGTGAGAGTGGGTGCTTATGTCATTGACATGAATGTTCTTCCTACCCAGTGACATTAGATGTTGCTTCACCTTCCTAAAGGCAGTTTTTCCTACATGAGCAGTGGTCCCATGACCGTGGGTAACTCTATACAAATATACTTTAGTCAGTGACACGTGCCATCCCTGAGCCCTAAAGCACCATTCCTGAGTCTTACGGAACAACCCTACTACCTGTTTTCAGCTGGAAAATAACCTACTGAACCAGCTCCTTGCAAGCTATTTTGTCCATGGTTGCCCTTCGACTACTATGTGTGATAGGTGAGAAAAGAAACTCTAGAAAGTCAGGGCTCCTAAAAGATGTTGAAATGCTGTTTGGTCAATTTTCCTTTTACTCCTAGATTAAAATATTTTCTCATGAACCAATCAGTTCCTTTACTTCTCAGCTCTAATGGTGTTTGTTGCTGTTACTTACCCAGCCATTTATTATGACCACCTCAATTCTAATCCTCTCCTTCTGACCAGTACTATCTTTTTTTGCCATGTAACTGAGCTGGGCTCTAATAAGAGTGCTCAACTGGAGCAGATACTCCCTAGGGTGCCTCAGGGTGACTTTTGGGTGTGGGTGGTGTTCTCCTCGGCTGCGGCTCCCGAGAGGCCGTGGCCCCCCGAGGCTGGTGTGTAAGGAAGGACGGGACCTGCTCCTGCAGGGCCCCGCTTCGGCTTCGGCTCCTCTCGTTCCCGCCTGGCGCGGGGAGCGCTCG